TGGGCCATACCAGGGCCCAAACTAGGCTTGGAAGCTTCTATATTAAAGCCCCTGAATTCTGTTATTATTTGTTAATAAATAATAGTTAATTTAACTTATTTTTATAAATTATTTGATAAAATTTATATATAATTTTATATCTTTGTAAAATTTTTTATTTATTTGTTAGATGAATGAAACAAATAAAACTGCATTTACTAATTTTTTTTTATTTTTAATCTATTCTAACATTTTCTATATTTTTTAATTTCTCAACAATTTTTTTATGTGCCTAGGTTTATTATTATTTTTTGGCAACATATGTCGGTTTATTTAAAAGTTATAAACAAATAGTGAGGGCATCCAATAAAACAATAAATTTCTATATCGGAAAGAGAAACCCCTAAACCAGCAAATTCACAACCTTTTTTTTTTCTTTTTGTTTTTTTGTATTAGGGTTTCCGTGGGTGCCATATCTACAACACTTGCCTGATTGAATTGTTGCAATTTCATCCCCAAATCCCTAATTTCTGCTAAGATTTTCTTGATTCAACAATGGCTACTGCATCAGGTACGTTCTTTATTACCCCTCCCCCAGTTTCTCCTTTCTGTTTCTTTCGATACCATAAAAAAAAGGAGACCTTTACTTATAAATTTGATCTGATAATTATTTTGGAATTTCAGTGGCATTTAAATCAAGGGAGGATCACCGGAAACAGCTTGAATTAGAAGAAGCTCGAAAAGCGGGGCTTGCTCCGGCTGAAGTCGATGAGGATGGAAAAGAAATTAACCCTCACATTCCTCAGTATATGTCTTCAGCGCCTTGGTATCTTAATGCCGAGAGACCAAGTTTAAAGCATCAAAGGAAATGGAAATCGGATCCCAATTACACCAAATCTTGGTACGATAGAGGTGCAAAGATATTTCAGGCTGATAAATATCGAAAAGGAGCCTGCGAAAAGTAAGTGAATCTTCTCTTTCTTGTTCTTTTATGGATACTCCATACTTGTTCCCCTATCTATCGATGCCTTGTTTTGTGTGTTAATGTGGTTTTAAGGTTTTAACCGAAGCATACATGAAAATTCTTTCTTTATTACACGTTTGATCAATTTTAGTCATTTGGGGTAGAAAAGGAATTGTAATTCTGATTAACAGCGATGGATTCTTGGCTAATGAACCTAAAACTGTAGGTTCAAATCTGGTGCAGTGTGACTTATTGCTAATGTGGTGCCTCTTATTGTTTCTTTGAAGTTTCCAGTTAACTTTACTAGAACAGGTTCATGTTTTTAAACTGGCACATTTAGTAGCTTCGCGTTAACTATAGATTTGGAAGCCTTCAAATACATGTTTTAGTTTCCTAGTATGTAATTTCTCATGTGTGAATCTATTTATTAGTAATAAGTTTGTTGAGTTGCTGAGATGAAATTTATTTAGACATGTTTATAGCTAACTGAATTGGGGTAGACTCCAGTGATATGACTTTTTGCTGCCACAACAGGCGCTAGCTGGGTTGTCTTAACTAGATAGAAATTCCTATATTTTCTTTCAAACACAAAGGGTTGAATTTTAGCCATGCATCATTGGAGGAAGCTTATTAATTGACCAAGTTGAAAGTCAGAGTTTAGTGCTGTGGCTTATACCCTCTATAATTGTTATATGGGAAAAAAAGTAGTTTAGATGACCTTACTAGTTTATTTTACGTGTGCCCTTGTACTTCAACCTCTGATTATGCCATAATTCATAATTGATTTATTCTTTTTATTGCTTATTGTAGCTGTGGAGCCATGACACATGATGCAAAGTCATGCATGGAGAGACCTCGTAAAAAGGGGGCAAAATGGACAAACATGCACATTGCACCTGATGAAAAGATAGAGACCTTTGAACTGGATTATGATGGCAAGCGGGATCGATGGAATGGTTATGATGCATCCACATATGCTCGTGTCATTGAAAGGTATGAGGCAAGGGATGAGGCTAGAAGGAAGTATCTGAAAGGACAGCAGCTGAAAAAGTTGGAAGAGAAAAATAGTAAAAACAATGTGGAGGGAGAGGTTAGTGACGAGGATGACGAAGATGATGCTTTGAAGGTTGATGAAGCTAAGGTTGATGAGAGCAAACAAATGGACTTTGCTAAGGTTGAGAAGCGTGTTCGTACCACTGGTGGAGGGAGCACTGGTACTGTCAGGTACATCCATTATACCAACCCTTAGCTGTAAATTTTTTTTTTAACTTATGTTGGTTTTTTAGGAGCAAAGTTTCTTCTCTGCAATATAAAAAATTATTCTTACTTCATATTTGCCTTTATCTTTTAGGAATTTGCGTATTCGGGAAGACACAGCAAAATATCTTTTGAACCTTGATGTCAATTCTGCTTATTATGATCCCAAAACTCGATCTATGCGTGAAGATCCTCTTCCTGATGCTGACCCTAATGAAAAGTTCTATGAAGTGAGTGTCTTGCAAAATTTTATCCCTAATTTCTTTCTTATTTATATGCCTTAAAGTTAATTAAATTATGCAATTCTAACTTTTTTATTTGTTACTTTACAGGGTGATAATCAATATAGAATGAGTGGGCAAGCTTTGGAGTTCAAGCAGCTCAATATTCATGCATGGGAAGCATTTGATAAAGGTCAAGATATTCATATGCAGGCTGCTCCATCTCAAGCCGAACTCCTCTTCAGGAATTATAAGGTCATCAAAGAGAAGTTGAAATCAAAGACCAAAGATACCATTATGGAAAAATATGGCAATGCAGCAACTGAAGAAGAGATACCAATGGAGCTTCTCTTGGGACAAAGTGAGAGGCAAGTGGAATATGATCGTGCTGGCAGAGTTATAAAGGGAATGGTACGCAAAAAATTAACTTTCTACATATTCTAGTTAGCTTTTGGTTTTCCCCTTCTGTTGCTTTATTTGTAAGTATTTCTTGTACATTTCTATCTCTTCATATACGTAGACATTGGTTGCCTCATCTTTCCTCTACTCTGTCAGGGAAAAAATTCACAATATCTACATTAACCATTTGGTGTCAATGGTTTTGGTCTTTTGCACTTCTTGCTAAAAGTTTAATGATTTCATCATGCACTTGGTAATGATACGATGTAGGCCAGCAGATGAAAACTGTATTGAGTGGTTAAGGACTTTTAAAAGTGAGAGATTTCAGGAAAATATTGGAAATACGTGTCTTCTTGGTCTGGTTTTTGCATCTTTCCTTGTTTAAAGTCATAGAATTTTGTTTCTGACTTGTCTGAAATAATCTTCTCAGCTCTAATGAAGTCTATTAAGTGTTTCTTTCTGGGTTTATCAAGTTATATGAGAATACTTTAGTTCTAATTTATGATTTGATTTTAAATAAGCTCTTTATTTAAATAGTGCTTTCTAACAGTTCTATATTTTCTTTTCTCTCTTCGAACTTTTTCTGTAGGAAACATCCCTTCCAAAAAGCAAGTATGAAGAAGATATTTTCATCAATAACCACACAAGTGTTTGGGGTTCATGGTGGAAGGATCACCAATGGGGCTACAAATGTTGTAAGCAAACAATTCGGAATAGTTACTGTACTGGTGCAGCCGGGATTGAGGCTGCAGAAGCAGCAACAGACTTGATGAAGGCTAATATTGCTCGTAAAGTGTCCTCCGAAGGTGGGTTCTTCCTAGTGTTTGCATGGATGCTTCAAGTCAGACTCATTCATCTAGTGATGATCTTTAATTTCATATTATTGTTTCAAGTAATTTTGGTTCACATAAATTCATCCAATAGAAGTCCAGATGGTGACGTTAGCTTCTATTTTGCATCCCTGAACTTTAAAGAATGTGCTGTTTTTAGTACCATGATTTTCGCTCTGAGTTTATCACTTTCCTCGTTTTTAATCCTTTTATCTGTATTCTGATTGGATTGCCAACTTGATTGCAGTTGTCCCTGCTCCTGCAGAGAAGAAACTTGCTACTTGGGGAACAGAGGTTCCTGAGGACCTGGTTCTTGATGAAAAACTTCTCACTGAGGCTCTTAAGAAGGTAAATATGGTGTATGATGTTATTTCTTTCCCGTTGTGTACCAAAAAGAAATTTGTGCATGTTTTTATGCATGTTTTGTCTGACAGGAGGATGAGAGGAGGAGAGAGCAGAAAGATGAAAGAAAGCGCAAGTATAATGTCAAATGGAATGACGAGGTAATGGTCTAATTATCAAGCTAAATTCTCTAGATGTTTGGTGCCTCTTTCAATTAACATTTGTAGGGTTATTTTCTCATATTACTAAATCATATGATGTCTTTTGTAGGTTACGGCTGAGGAAATGGAGGCATATCGGATGAAAAAGATACACCATGATGACCCCATGAAGGACTTCTTAAATTGAAAGCCAACTGAGATATGTTTATAAATGTAGAACTAATAATATGGATGATGTTTTCAGCTTTATGATTATGTTATTGAGTTGTGATAACAATCATGTGTTATGTTTTGTTTGTATAATACAGTAAAAAGTATTATATTAGGTTTCAATGACAAATAGTTAGATTTTCCGTTCTTCGGCCGTGCAGGATCTTTCGTGGAATTTGTATGTAATGTAAAGAGAAAAGAAGGAGAAAGAAAAGAGAGTTTATTTTCAGCCAAAAAATAAATAAATAAATTACTTTTTTGCTTTTTCATTTTTGCAATTTGGAGGGGAATGAAGCACAACTTAAGCTTATTAAAGGTAAATGTTACTGAATGCTGAAGGAAAAAAAAAACAAAGATGAAGTTCCATTTATTTATCAGCAAATGCATAATCAAAATATTCATTGTATAATCCCAAAAAGTGAAAAGAGGAAAAAGAAATCAGACAATCCACTTTATATGTAGGAAAGAAAAGGAACACAATATTCACAAAATTTGAATCCTATCTATACAAAGATAAAAGCCCTTTACGATAAATCAGAAACTTATTCTATGAAAGGAGGGAAAAAAAAAAGAAAGAATCAGTAACCAAAACCTGCAAAGTTTCAATCTGAAAGTTGAAAAGGAGTGAAAATGGATATCAAGCACTTCGGGCCAGCATCTCCTGGAAATCAAGATCACTTCTTTCCTTCTCAAGCTTCCTGTCTTCATGAAACTTGTGTATAAACTCATCTGCTCTTTCATCAACCCCCCTTAGATGGGGTGATTTTGCGACAATAGCCTTGCATGCATCTTCAATTCTATAAATACTACTCTCTTCTACTTTTTCTTTGCCTTTTCTTTGCAAAACCTTGTGGTCATCCCCTTCATTTCGTCTGCTTGTCTCCGCCTGTGGTTCGACACGCTTTGCTTGCATTGACATGGGCTCTGGATAGAGCTGGTCTATATATATAACTTTACGGTTCTTGTGAAGCTGGCTCTGGTAGTGTTGGTAATGGTCGAGGTTGTTGTAGTTATACCGGTGAGGGCGATTGGAGGTATACTTTGAAAGAAAGCGTTTCTTGAAGGGTGCAAAGAGACGGAACGAGCAGAACTCAAGGAGGCGATGAGTTGCTGCTTTGATGAAATTTGAGACGTTGAAGTTGTGCAGTTTTGATTTCAGTTTGTTTGTGAAGTTCTTCCAGGCCTTTCTGGCTGGCTTCAGCTTCTTTGCCAGGTTCAAGGGAGGCATCCGATTGTTAGGTTTTGTACAGCAATTATAGCGGATGCTGACACAGTTTTTTGAAAATGAAGAAGATTTATAATGAAGACTTTGGCTCAGGCAATCAATGTTATATGGAAGACGCTTTGATTCTCCTTTCTTCTATATATAATTTTTCTCTCAATTAGGTGACATGAAATGTCCTTTCTTTTGCTTTATATTTGCTGGACTACCACTTTTCAAATGTGGGAGCCAAAGAAATTGAGTTGGGATAGGTTTCTTTGCAATGGCATAGAAAATGGATGTATTTTCTTGGTCAAGCAGTCTTTTAACTTTCGGCAAATTTGGAGGCCAGACTTGGGGGATCAATCTTGGGTCCTAAGTTTATGTGAATGTAGGTTGAAGTCAATATCTTTTAAAATCGCACTAATTCTTTACTTGTTTAGAGGAATCCCACCATAAATTATGATGGTTTGTGGGCTCAGTTTCCCTGGAGTAAAAGGATCATGACTGCATATTACCGGCTATTGATTACAAGGTTAGAGTTTGATTAATTACAAGAGTAAGAGATTAGAATCTCCTAGATTGTTTAAAAAGTATTGGAAATTCATAAGTAGTCAAAGCTAAAAGCCAGAAAGATAATTTGAATTTAATTCAGTTAGTTCATATAATTATTGATATCATTCAATAAATTTAAAATTCAAATCTCAATACTTACAATCTCTTATCTTTATCTCTGACTTCTTTTGTGCTAAAAAAAAGCCTAAAGAGTTGTTTACCCCAACCCTTGTCCATAATTCACAAATATCTTGCAATTTTACACAATCAAGGTATGAAGTTGGATATATGGATGTTATCATGTTAATAATAGTTAAAAAGAAATTCTTTTTCCTAGCTGATAGTTTATCAGATACGATTTTATCATTCGAAGTTGGGTTCTGTTGAAATGTACAGAGAGTTATAAAAAAGTTGAACTACTAATTGATCCAATTTCTGAAGTTTTCCCCTGCTGGAAGCAACATGATACCTTGTTTGATTTGATAATCATTGGTAAACGTTTTCTAAAGTCATGGTAGAAAAAAGGCAAGATTGTTTTATCAGAGGATTTAAAAAGTTATTACCACTAACCACTCTTCTTTTTTTTTTTTACAACCACTAATGCTGTTGTAAGCCATTAATCCAATCAACAGATAGCCCCCCATCTGCTACCAACTGCCATGCCTTGCTGTGGTAGCTTGTTATTTGTTAATAGCACAAAGCCAATAATTCACAATTAGACAAGGAAATGGACAAGACAAAGCCAGATATTTTGCTTGGGCTCGTGATTTTTTATGCTAGAAACTATTAAATTTAGTACATGATAACTGAAAATAAAAGTTCAACACTTTGTTAACAAGTTTGTCGATGTATTAGCACTCTACATGAGTTTTACGTATAGTTTCCTAGGACATTTTGGTGGATTAGATAAGCACCCTCCTTGATGACCATTGATCCAAATCCAAAATATACATTGTAGGTTAGCTCCTCTTAGGTTCAGTTTTGTACTTGTACTCAAGCAGCCTGCATTCAAGCAACATATGTTTTCCACTGATATGGAATTATAGCATCCAAAATTCTATGGTGAACCCTCTAAGGTAAACTGTTTATTAAAGGAAGAGCCAATATTATAGAACTTGAACACTTGGAGGTTCGAGGCTCAACCCCTTTTCATTGATAAAGACCTTCCTGGTCCAAGCCATGTGTGATGTCTGCTGTTATAATTTCATTTTTTTTGGGGGGGCCCTCTTTGGTTTTCCACAACTTTTTTTTTTTTTTTTAAATGGTAAGGGAGCTTGGAGTTGCCTTTCCAACTAGTAAAGATGGCAAATAGTTTTCTCTTTCAAGCTTTGCTTTACAGCTCATAGAAAAATCTTACAATTGTTATAGATTCCTAAAGCTTAAGTATCTATCTAGATTTCAATTTCCATCCTTTCCTTCTAGGATTGGAAATCTATCTCTTCTTAATCCTCTCTCCATTGAAAACTAACTGGTTTTTTTTTTTTTGAAAATTACTTTTAAGATTATGTGATCCTTCATTTTTAAATTCTTATCTTTTTAAATTAATCTAATAATATACCTAAGAGGGACAAGTTTTTTTTAATTAATTCAATTAATTTATACAATTATTTTAAAAAAAATTAACTGTTTTACTATTCAAATTTTAATATTTACAATTCTTTCATTTCTTCTCAAATTGTGATATTTTTTTATAAAAAATAATAATAATAATTGACATTTTGAACATTAATCTAAAATATAAAGAAAAACCTTAAATATTTACCATCACAAAAGAAAATAAAAAATTAGACACTTAATCCTTCTATCTCTTAATTATCAATAGGAAAAACAATTTAGAGTTTGTTTGGTTTGGAACATGATTTTGTAGAATTTTATCTTTTATGACAGTTGTTGAAGAAACATGTTCTTGCAATTATATATTATCAGGAAAAAAAAATGTCACAAATTTTCAAGGCCAAAGCCCAGTGATCCTTCAGTAGTTTCTATTGTAAATCCATGGGGCGGATGTGGGCTGGGTTTCAAGCAGCAATTCACTGGAGTAAGTAGTGGTCCAAATTTGAGTTTAGACTGTTTTTTTTTTTTTTGTTCTGAAAAATAGTAATTGTTTTTATTATTTGTTTATTTAAAAATTGCTATAAAATAAATGAAAATGCCAAAAAGAAAATTTTATTTCATTAAAAATATAATTAATTGAATATAACACAAATTTTGATAAAATTTTTTATATGAGAGTAAAACCATATATTTTGTGTATTCGAATGTTATTCATGAAAATAAAACTTTTAGTTTCTAAATTATCAAGAAAATTAATATTTTTGTAATTTGGGGCACCTTTTTTGGCGAAAAAAAAAAAGAAAATATGCCTCATTTACTTTTTTTTTATTTTTAAAAGTGAAAATGATAATAAAAATAATATCAAATAAACCAAACCTTTTTCAATTCTTCTGTTCTTTTCATCCATTTAATTAGTCGAAAATTATAAGCATTAGCTTCTACAGCTCATGGGTGGATTAAGTTTTTTTTACTGTATTTGATTTTGTTGTTTGATATAAAATCTTTTGCTTTGAGAAAAACATTTGAAAGATAATAAATATTATTTATGGTAATTTTAAACGACAATAATATAAATAAAAACATAAAAAATAATATAAATTAAAATTTTTGTAAAAATCATATAAAACATAATATGAATATATAATTATTAATATTTTATAATATATTAATACATGAATTTACGAGTCTAATAAATACTAACAAATTGGAATAATGTTGTCATTGAAATTGCTTCTTTGGTTTTATTGACTTGGTCATGGATAACACTAGTATTATTTTCCGACACACAAAAACAAGGTACGGAATTGTTCCAGTGTTGAATTCACGCCCACTTGGGCATTTTATTCCATACTTTAAACTTTAAACCTAAAAACATCCAATTGCGGGGTAGCCTTCCTGGAGCTTAATCCCTTTGATGCTGTGACCTAGAACCGGGGCTAAACACAGATACCTCCTTCCTACTGTCCTAAAATCTCCTTGCTTCCTCCCTGGAGATATCATAAATTCATCAACACATCTAGTGGCATGGCTCGAATAGCCGATACACGACCAGCAATCTGGTACCTAGAACCGGGGCTAAAAACAGATACCTCCTTCCTACTGTCCTAAAATCTCCTTGCTTCCTCCCTGGAGATATCATAAATTCATCAACAAATCTAGTGGCATGGCTCGAATAGCCGATGCACGACCAGCAATCTGGTTGATCTTGGCGTTAGCGTTAGTCTTGAATGCAATCCATTCCAATCCTTGATTGCCTGCTTTCTTCAACACTGCAAAGTTTTGGGGTACAACTATCATCTGGCCCTCTTCAACCTGCTCATCGAATACAGTCTCCCCATTTTCTCTGACAAATTGACAATTTGAATCCGGCCATTGCCTCTAGTAATGTAAACAATTCTGTGTGCATTGACGTTCCAGTGAGGAACGTAGAGAGCATTCTGTACATTCATTTTGGACAACCAATCATTAATCTTATAAAAGCAAGGAAACCCAGAATTTAGTATGCAATATAGTATAATTTTTCTTACCCTGCAAAGGACTCCTTTCTCAGCACTTAGTTGGAGGAATTGCAGGATAGGGAGTTAATAGCTGTTAACGGTGGTGATGCGTCCGGCTCGACGCTCCTGGGTTGAATATATCAGCAAGTGATAGATTATCAATCTGGTGTTTTAGCTTCATTGTGCAGAATGTTTCCTCTAACCCGTTGGAACTTTCTCCTCTCCTTCCCCTTCTTCCTTGTTTCTTTGTCCTCTCTCTTGTTCTTGTTCCTGCTCTTCTTCTTCCTCCTCTTCAGTTTCTTGTTGAGTCTGTTCTTCCTCTTCTCTTTACGGGCTTACAACCTTAAAGTCACGCTGAGCTTTGACAATGGCTCGCCTGTTATCTTTTTGATTGTGCAACTTCCTTACTAGCTTGGAGTCAATGCCGAAAACCTCTTCCAGGAGCTGCTTCTCAAAGCCATTTAAGATACCGTTTCCACTGGTTCCTTCCTGTTCCTGGCCTCTGCGGCTTCGGCCTTGGCTTCTATCTCTGCTCTGACTCTGACGCTGACCTCTCCTACTAATTTTCTTGTGATTGTAATTAATTTTCTTGTTTCTTATGGAGAATGTATTATTGGGTTTTCTCTTTTCTCATCTTTCATTAATACTTGCTTTGGCTAAAATAAGACAATAAAATCTCATTCCTAACGAAAAGAACAGAACTCCGAAGTCCATACATAACAAAGTCTATAACAAAGCCCCGACTCTCAAAAAATGCAAGCCAAAGAACTATCTAAAGCCGAGTTATCACCAATTAGAATACAATCCAAAGTTCCTTGGTCAGGTTCTTATTTATAATTAATTAATTAAATTGAGTGTACGAGTAAATTGCACCATAGATTCATAATTTTTGCATAATTTTTTTATCCATAACTTTTTAAA